ACACATAAAGAATGGAGGAGGAAGAATAAGAATGGAGAGAAATAAAGAATCATCATACTGGTTTATAATAGCTTAATAAGTAAGTTAAGTTAGATGGTTAGATAGTAAAGAAGATATCCTTGAACCTTTGGTAACCACAAATCTAAAGCCTGCAATGACAATAAGTACATATCTTTCAATAATCACCCTAAATGTAAATGTATTGCATACACCAATCAAAAGACACAGAGTAACAGAATGGATAAAAAAGCAAGACCCATCTACATACCGCTCACAAGACACTCACTTCAAACTCAGACATACACAGACTAAAAGTGAAGGGATGGAAACGATATTTCATGTAAACAATACGGAGAAAAAAGCAGGTGTTGCAGTACTAGTATCAGACAAAATAAACTTCAAAACAAAGAAAGTAACAAGAGATAAAGAAAGACATTACATAATGATAAAAGGGCCAGTCCAACAAGAGGATATAACCATTCTAAATATAGATGCACCCAATACAGGAGCACCAACATATGTGAAACAAATACTAACAGAATTAAAGGAGGAAATAGAATGCAATGCATTCATTTTAGGAGACTTCAACACAACAATCACTCCAAAGGACAGATCAAGCAGACAGAAAATAAATGACACAGAGGCACTGAACAACACATTAGAACAGATGGACCTAACAGACATCTACAGAACTCTACACCCAAAAGCAGCAGGATACACATTCTTCTCAAGTGCACATGGAACATTTTCCAGAATAGACCACATACTAGGCCACAAAAAGAGCCTCAGTAAACTCAAAAAGATTGAAATTCTACCAACCAACTTCTCAGACCACAAAGATATAAAACTAGAAATAAATTGTACAAAGAAAACAGAAAAGTCCACAAACACAAGGAGGCTTAACAACATGCTCCTAAATAATCAATGGGATCAATGACCAAATTAAAAGAGATAAGCAATATATGGAGACAAATTAAAACAACAGCACAAAGCCCCAACTTCTGTGGGACGCAGCGAAGACAGTTCTAAGGGTAAAGTATACAGCAACCCGGGCCTATTTAAAGAAGGAAGAACAATCCCAAATGAATAGTTTAAAGTCACAATGATTGAAACTGAGAAAAGAAGAACAAATGAGGCACAACATCAGCAGGAGGAGGGACATAATAAAGATCAGAGAAGAAATAAATAAAATTGAGAAGAATAAAACAATAAAAAAAATCAATGAAACCAAGAGCTGGTTCTTTGAGAAAATAAACAAAATAGATAAGCCCCTAGCCAGACTTATTAAGAGAAAAAGAGAATCTACACATATAAACAGAATCAGAAATGAGAAAGAATAAATCACAATGGACACCACAGAAATACAAACACTTATTAGAGAATACTATGAAAATCTATATGCTAACAAAGCTCGAAAACCTAGAAGAAATGGACAACTTCCTAGAAAAATACAACCTTCCAAGACTGACCAAGGAAGATAAAGAAAATCTAAACAGACCAATTACCAGCAACGAAATTGAATCGGAAATCAAAAACTACCCAAGAACAAACCCCCTGGACTAGAAGGATTCACCACTGAATTTTATCAGACATATAGAGAAGACATAATCCCCATTCTCCTTAAAGTTTTCCAGAAAATAGAAGAAGAGGCAATACTTTCAAACTCATTGTAAGAAGCCAGTATCACTCTAATACCAAAACCAGGCAAAGGCCCCACCAATAAAGAAAATTACAGACCAATATTCATGATGAACGTAGATGCAAAAATACTCAACAAAATATTAGCAAACCGAATTCAAAAATACATCAAGAGGATCATACGCCATCATCAAGTGGGATTCATCTCAGGGATGCTAGGACGGTACAACATTAAAAAATCCATCAACATCATTCACCACATCAACAAAAAGAATGACAAAAACCACATGATCATCTCTATAGATGCTGAAAAAGCATCTGACAAAATTCAACATCCATTCATGATAAAAACTCTCAACAAAATGGGTACAGAGGGCAAGTACCTCAACATAATAAAGGCCATATATGACAAACCCAAAGCCAACATCATACTTAACAGTGAGAAGCTGAAAGCTTTTGCTCTAAGATTGGGAACAAGACAAGGATGCCCACTCTCCCCACTGTTATTCAACATAGTACTGGAGGTCCTAGCCATGGCAATCAGACAAAACAAAGAAATACAAGGCATCTTGATTAGTCAAGAAGAAGTCAAACTGTCACTATTTGAAGGTGACATGATATTATACATAAAAAACCCTAAAGTATCCACTCCAAAAGTACTAGAACTAATATCGGAATTCAGCAAAACTGCAGGATACAAAATTAATACACAGAAATCTGTTGCTTTCCTATACACTAACGATGAACTAGCAGAAAGAGAAATAAGGAAAAAATTCCATTCCAATGCATCAAAAAGAATAAAATATCTAGGAATGAACCTAACCAAGGAAGCGAAAGACCTATACCCTGAAAACTACAACACTCTTAAGAGAAATTAAAGAGGACACTAACAAATGGACACTCATACCATGCTCTTGGCTAGAAAGAATTAATATTGTCAAAATGGCCATTCTGCCTAAAGCAATCTACAGATTCAATGCAATCCCTACCAAAATACCTACAGCATTTTTCAACGAACTGAAACAGATAGTTTTAAAATTCATATGGAACCACCAAAGACCCTGAATAGCCAAACCAATCCTGAGAAGGAAGAATAAAGCAGGGGGATCTCACTTCCCAACTTCAAGCTCTACTACAAAGCCACAGTAATCAAGACAATTTGGTACTGGCACAAGAACAAAGCCACGGACCAGTGGAACAGAATAGAGAGTCCAGATATTAACCCAAACATATATGGTCAATTAATATACAATAAAGGAGGCATGGACATACAATGGGGAAATGAAAGCTTCTTCAACAGCTGGTATTGGCAAAACTGGACAGCTACATATAAGGCAATGAAACTGGATCACTATCTAACCCCATACAGAAAAGTACATTCAAAATGGATCAAAGACCTGAATATGAGTCATGAAACCATAAAACTCTTAGAAAAAAACAGAGGCAAAAATCTCCTGGGCATAAACATGAGCAACTTCTTCACGAAACATATCTCCCTGGGCAAGGAAAGAAAAGCAAAAACGAAGAGGTGGGACTATATTGAGCTGAAAAGCTTCTGTACAGCAACAGACACAAACAAGGAACAAAAAGACATCCTACAGTATGGGAGAATATATTCATAAATGACAGATCCTATAAAGGGTTGACATCCAAAATATATAGAGCTCACACACCTCAACAAACAAAAAGCAAATAATCCAATTAAAAAATGGGCACAGGATCTGAACAGACAGTTCTCTAAAAAAGAAATACAGATGGCCAACAGACACATGAAAAGATGCTCCACATCGCTAATTATCAGAGAAATGCAAATTAAAACTACAATGAGGTATCACCTCACACCAGTAAGGATAGCTGCCATCCAAAAGACAAACAACAACAAATGTTGGCGAGGCTGTGGAGAAAGGGGAACCCTCCTACACTGCTGGTGGGAATGTAAGCTAGTTCAACCATTGTGGAAAGCAGTATGGAGGTTCCTCAAAAAACTAAAAATAGAAGTACCATTTGAACCAGGAATTCCACTCCTAGGAATTTACCCTAAGAGTATAGGATACCAAAAAGACATATGCACCCCTATGTTTATTGCAGCACTTTTTACAATAGCCAAGATATGGAAGCAACCTAAGTGTCCATCAGTAGATGAATGGATAAAGATGATGTGGTACATATACACAATGGAATATTATTCAGCCATAAGCAGATAACAAATCCTACCATTTGCAACAACATGGATGGAGGTAGAGGGTATTATACTTAGTGAAATAAGCCAAGTGGACAAAGACAAGTATCAAATGATTTCACTCATCTGTGGAGTATAAGAACAAAGAAAAAAAAAAAAACTAAAGGAACAAAACAGCAGCAGACTCATAGAACCCAAGAACGGACTAACAGTTACCAAAGGGAAATGGACTGGGGAGGATGGTTGGGAACAGAGGGATAACGGAAAAAAAGAGGGGCATTACTATTAGCAGACAGCATGTGAGGGAAGGGCACAGGGTTGTACAACACAGAGAAGACAAGTAGTGATTCTATAGCATCTTACTATGCTGATGGACAGTGACTGTAATGGGGTTTGTGGGGGAGGACTTGGTGATGGGGGGAGTCCAGTAAACATAATGTTCCTCATGTAATTGTAGATTAGTGACAACAAAGTGAAAATAAATAAATAAATATATAAACAGAAAGTAAATAAATAAATAAATATATATATGTACATAAAAAGCCAATAGGGCTTTCTTAACTCCCAGCTCAAACAGTGCCAAAAATCCTCAACTTAAGAAATTCTGGCCTATAGATATACAAATTAGAATTGAAAGGTACACCAAGTAATTTATACATCCTTCAAATTGAAAATCTACCCACTGCTATGAAAAGAAGTTCAAAAGAATAATCTTTGCTTGATGAGTAAAATGAATTAGCCAAAGCTTCCTGCAACTCTAAGGTAGCCATAATCAGTTCTAGGGCAATGATTTGCTGTATTTGGTCTACCTTAGACTATACTGCTGTTAGTCTCAGCATATTAGAGATTACATTTGTGCAACTTTTTAAAATATGATTAAATGGAATGATAATTATCTTACCCTAGGAAGTATTTTCTCCTTGTGTCTCACCAAAAATCTAGAAAAAGGAAGTTGCTTTCTTCTACATAGAATGAGAAACACCGTAGTCATACTATTCTGGCTTTTGAATGTCTATTTTTAAGTACAATCTAGTGGGACTGTAAATAAATTTATCAAGATATAAACATCATTATTAAATCTACTACAGGAAATAAATATATCAATATAACCTAACATCTACTACCAAATAAGTGACTTCAATCAATGTACGTTCAGCACTTTCAAAAATCCTGAGATGCTTACTTTAATTTCAACTTGCTCTTCCATTTCTTTTGTTTTTATTGTAGTATATTCTTTTTCAAGCCTAAGAAGGAAAAACAAAAGATAAGGGTATGTTTTCATGCCAAAGCAGTTATTATTACAAAGCTTAAAACTACATTAACACAAAATACAATTTTGCTGGGTTCCCCCCAACTTATATAACTTGAGATACTTGACATCAGAAAAATTATCTGAAGTTACATGATTTTTACCAAAAAAAATCACTTCACAAATAACAAGAACCACACAAAAATAAATTTAGAAAGTGAACTATATAAGGCACCAAACAAATAACTGAGCTTACAGATTCTACTCAGCCTTAAACATACAAAAGAACTATCATATCCATCTCTGCAAATTAAAATGCATCGGTATGGTTCAACTGAATTTTAGTCAAAATGTGCACTAAAATTGATGAAGAAATTTATAATAAAAAAGGGACAACTTACTAATAAAAGAATTCCAATTAATAAATGTAAAAGGAATAGAGCAAATAAAAAGCACCATTAGAACTCCACAGTCATAACTGCCAGAGGCAGAACAAAATCAATGGATGCTAAAGTAAAGTAAAAGCTTAAGCACAGTCTCAAAGTAGCTCTCACAAAATATTTAGTAAGTACAAAGGTAAAAAAGAGTAAATTTATAGTACAGACTTCTAGCAGACAGCATCTGAGCCAACTGATTAAGGTTCATTATCACCAGAATTACAAATTGACATCATGTACCCTGCTTTGATGAACTGAGAAAGGCACCTCACCTCTGTGGAATCCTTCCCAATAATGCATATCCTCAATATAATCAAGAGAAACCATCAAACAAACCCAAACTGAAGCACATCATTCAAATAATTGACTGGCATGCTTCAGAAGTGTTAAGGTCATGAAAAGAAAAAAAGACTAAAGAACTATCACCAACTGTAGGAGATTAAGAAATGACAAACAATTGCAATGTACTATTTTTGCAACTCAATTGTAAAACTATCTTTAAACAAATGTATAAGCTATACAAAAAAATTAGGCCCACCAAGTTATTTTTGTATCTTACTCTCAATCAAAAATGTTAGTAACAAGTTTACGCCGAACACTAACAAAACCGGCCCCAATTATAGCTGCTTTCAAAAGTCAAATTCTCCCTCAAAAGACAAAAACCTATTATTTACTATATATTTATATTTTTATTTAGTTCAGTTACTTTTATAATTGTGATAAAATACACATAACATTTACCATCTTAACCATCTTTAAACATTCAGTTTAGTGGTATTAAATACATTTATAATGTGCAGCCATTATGACCATCATGACTATAGTTCTTTTCATCTTATAAAAGTGAAAATCAGGGGCGGAGCCAAGATGGCGGCGTGAGTAGAGCAGCAGCAATCTCCTCCCAAAACCACATATATCTATGAAAATATAACAAAGACAACTCTTCCTAAAAGAGAGACCAGAGGACACAGGACAACATCCAGACACATCCACACCTGAGAGAATCCAGCGCCTTGCGAAGGGGGTAAGATACAAGCCCCGGCCCGGTGGGACCTGAGCACCCCTCCCCCCAGCTCCTGGTGGGAGGAGAAGAGTCAGCAGGGAGGGAGAAGGAGCCCAGGACTGCTGAACACCCAGCCCCAGCCATCCAGACGAGAGTGGAGATACAGTGCATGCGCGGAGACCTGGATACTAAGGAAACAGGACAGCAGGACCAGTGAGCAGGTGCCTGACGCCGATGCCAGAGAACAAAGAAACGGGAGCAACAATTTTTTTTTTTTTTTTTTGGCGAGTGCTTTTTGGAAGTCTTAAAGGGACAGGGACACCAATACTAGGGAAACAGGGAAGCAAGACCAGTGAGCAGGTGCCTGAGACTGGCACCTGAGGACAAAGAAAATCACGTGTTTTTCTTTTTTTTTTCAATTATTTCTTTAACTGTTTCTTTTTTTTTTTTTGGTTCCTGTTGTTGTTTTGGTTTGGAGAGTGCTTTATGGAAGGCTTAAAGGGGCAGGGCAGGACACTTAGTCCAGAGGCAGGGAATCTCGGGTTCTCTGGCACTCTAACCCCCTGGGCAGCAGGGAGCACAGAGGCCCCTTACAGAGATAAATAGCCTCCCGACCATGCCCCCTCCAACCGGGCTCCACCATTTTAGAGCAGCGGCCCAAGCCAGGCCACGCCCAAAGCCACAGCAGAGATAAACTCCATAGCAGGCCAGGAAGCTGAATCCCGGTCTGCGCACAGCTGGCCAGCACAAGCCACTAGAGGTCGCTATTCTCCCAGGAGAGGAAGGCCACAAACCAACAAGAAGGAAAGCTCTTCCAGCTGTCAGTCGTACCAGCTCTGCAAACTATCTTCATCACCATGAAAAGGCAAAACTACAGGCAGACAAAGATCACAGAGTCAACACCTGACAAAGAGACAGACCTAACCAGTCTTCCTGAAAAAGAATTCAAAATAAAAATCATAAACATGCTGACAGAAATGCAGAGAAATATGCAAGAGCTAAGGGATGAAGTCTGAAGGGAGATCACAGATGTCAGGAAGGAAATTACAGAAATGAAACAAACCCTGGAAGGATTTATAAGCAGAATGGATAAGATGCAAGAGGCCATTGAAGGAATAGAAACCAGAGAACAGGAACGTATGGAAGCTGACATAGAGATAAAAGGATCTCTAGGAACGAAACAATACTAAGAGAACTATGTGACCAATCCAAAAGGAGCAATATCCGTATTATAGGGGGACCAGAAGAAGAAGAGAGAGGAAAAGGGATAGAAAGTGTCTTTGAAGAAATAATTGCTGAAAACTTCCCCAAACT